TGCGCCTGGTTGGGTTTGGTGTCCTGCCAGAAGTGGTAGGTTTGGCCCCGGTGCCCCGCGTGAACTTGTTCGATGACGGCGCTGTGAGCGTGGGGGCATCGAGGGGGCTGGTTTGTGCCCAGGACGGGCTTCCTCTGTAGCTCTCACCTTACTTTTCTGTCCGTTTTCGTCTTTGGAGAAGGCACTGCCTGCCAAACCGCTGAGAGCTCTTGCAAGGTCATGTTCATGCAGGTGTCTGAAGGCTTTGTAGATGTTAAATACTGCTTCTGGTACTGAAACAATGGTTATTTTTGTCCTTTGCTACCTGTTTTGGAGGCCAGCACTAGCTCCTGACAAGTGTATTCCTTCAGTCTTGCTTTATATCTCTGCAAACTGTTTCCAGCTCTCTCTCTCTCTCTCTCGGGGGTAAACCCACTCTCAACAGCCTCACTGTGTCTTCCTGTCTTTCCGGCTGCCCCAAGCCCGAACCGTTTGCAACCTGTTTTCTAAACCCACTTGCTAGGTTACTCAGAAGGGAGCTTCATGATAAGGGAATACGCAGCAGACAGTGGAAACGGTGGCAAAAGCAAAGCAATAAAAGGAAACAGGCTAAGAAGTGGGGAGAGCGCAGGCTATCACAAACAGTTGTGGTTATGAAATAGTCAAGACGCTAAAAACAGCAGCATGTCACCGTAGCAGATGTATTTGGTAATCGAATTTCAACAGAAGGGATGCTGATTGTGCAGTGTTAGCTGTTTGGCAAGAAAGAGGAGATGTGACCTGCCGTGGTGCGAGTGTGATCATCACCCAGCAGAATGAGAGAGACAGCTCACTTCCCACAGGAAAAACAGTGGGAAACGTCTGAAATGGGTCAGCCCTTAGACAAGCAAAAGTCCAGATGTTCAAAGGTAAGCTGAAAAGCTCCTGCTGCAGCTCCACTTGTTCCACCTCTGGTGTTGCAACCTGTGTGCTGGGCAAAAAATCATGGCTAGTTGCCCCTTGCAGAGGGAGTCGGAGCTCTGTGTCCTGCCCGAGAGCGTGGTCTTGGTGTCCGGCCTGCCAGGCTGGAGAGTGGAGAGATGGCTCCCATTTCAGAGCGGCCACTGACCTCTTCTCTGCCAGTGCGATGTGACGTAGTCACCGTTCATCTCGGGTCCTGTGGAACAGTGCAGAGTGCAGTGGCCTATTTGCTCTGGTAGGACACGTTGAAGAGAACACTGCCCAGACGCTCCCATGCTGAACTAACGGGCACAACCTTATCAACCCAATCCAGCCTTTGGGACAGAGAGGATGTTACAGGCTACAGACTGGACTCCATGGACCAGGCAAATGGTCCGGACGGATTTGAAAGGCTGTGCAAGGGATAGCAAAGGAGTGGAGCTCCCAAGCCATGGTTTCCACCTTGCAGGAGGAAAAGGCTTGGTGGATTCTCGCACAGCTGCAGTGGTGTGCGTGGAGCACCACCATAAGGGCTGCTGAAATTAAGGCCCTTTTGATTGTCCCACCCTGCACTGACCAGATACTGAATTTCTGTTCCTACTCTGGAGTTTTTGAATTATTATTGTTTGTGTCTCCTTATTTTCTTTTGATTTCCCCTTCTCTTGACCCTGCTTTGTGTGGTTAGTGCCGAGCGTTCCCGAAGGACCGCTTTGCAAGAAGTCACTATGCTTCTGCAGTTCTGTAGGTACATCCATTAACACACCCACTAATATGGGGCTTTCATTTCTTTCTCTTCCACCCCAGAGTGGACGTTTCTTAATTATCATTTGAATTCTGAGAATAGGGTATTATTCCTGAAGATTAGAAGGTATCCAGCAGTTAGCAGTAGTTTATTTTTCAAGCTGGAAAGCACTGAGGTAAGGAGCAAATAGTGAGTTATAAGGAGGAAGAAGCCCTGCCAGTCTCCGTGATGCCATTTCTGCTGGGGTGCCTGCCAGATGCAAGGAGTGGCAGAGGGTGCAGTGCTGGACTCGCTCTTCGGTCACTGCTTCTGGCCTTGCGTCACCAGCAAAACGAGGGACAGCAGGCACAAGATGTGGAGAAAGTGAGGCTTTGAGGCTCGGAGTGAAGCTCTGAACTATCAGTTTGGGTACTGGTTTGGGTCAAGTATTTGCCAACATCACCCTCCCTCAGATGCTGCCTCGTGGCTCCAGTGAGGCTCTTGGAGGACAGAGACCTTGAGCTCACCAAGGGAGATGTCACGCACATGCCTCCCTCTGGCAGTGGATGTGCCTGAAATTGCTGTATTACAACCACAGAGTTGACTAGCTTTAATCGTCACATTAGGAGCGACCGAGCACTCTGTCAGTCAGATTAAGCCCATCTAATAAGCTTCACAGAAGCCAACATACATCATAAATGCTGTACTCAGTTATGCATGACAAATCTGAGCAAAATATTTTCCAAAATTGGATCTCTAGGGTAAGCGCAAGCTGCTCATCCAGGGGAAAGGCTAGCGCTGTGCTCTCCTGGGTCGCTGCGAGCAATGCGCTGCCTTGGCCTCGGAGCAACAAAACCTGGAAACGCGTCGGGCAGCCCCTCCTTGGAGGAGAGGGAAGCAGCGCTCCCCTAGCACGGCTGTTCCTAGGGCAGGGCACGCAGCAAAGAAGAAAACAGCCCTTCTCACTCGGGCTTCGGAAACAATCCTTATTATCCTCAGAGGATACTGTAGGAAGTTTCAGGGAAAAGAAAACTTTTCCATCATGTCAGAGCAAGGATCAAAGTTCGTCAGCTGGAAAACAAAGCTGCGGAGGGCTTGTCCTGGGAGATCCCGGATGAGTCAGTCGGAGCTTCCCTTTCCCCTCCAGCCGATGGGGAGCCCAGGCACGTATTTATAATTTGGAGAGAATTTTTGTCCCCGACACAGGCAGGTGACCCAAGAATGACAAAAATCTAATCACTCCTATGTCCATATTGCTCAGTCCCTTGCAAACTAGCTGCTTAAAGGAATAGTTATATTTTCTCTGGCTACGATCCTCCACGTCAAAAAATCCCCCAAACCAAGAAAGTGACATTGGAGGAACCTGTGTTACTCAGCTACCCCAAAGCAGTAGATCAGGCAAAAATAATTTTTAGGTTGGTTGATGCTAAATAAAACAAAGAAGGGTCAGGATTCTAAGAATTTTCCCTTATTTTTCATGCCAGTTTATAAGTACTGGTGGCCCTAAGGAAGGGGCTGTTGTGCAAGGGATGAGAAGTGGGGCTCCCGTGCAGGTACTGCATGTTTCTGCGCGGTTCCCAGCCTGGGCGCGGGCTTGCGGGGCAGATGGGCTACGTGCGACCCTGCGGTCGGCTCGCGCTGCCGGCCCCTGCTGCGGTGCGCCGGCCTCCAAGCTGCTGGCCGTCCTCCCGTAGATACTGCCCTCTTGCTACGCACGTTGCTGAGCTCTCCACCTGCAACCGGGCTCTTCTACTTCACCCATTGTTTTTTTCCAAGCTTTCCCTGTTTTTCCTCCATGCAGTTCCTTGGCAAATCTTCCACAAAGCTCATTCAGAAGGGTCTGACTGCCCCCACTGACGTTCTTCCAATACGGCTTTACTTGGGCCATTTTGGTGGCACTGAAATCAGTGAACACCCCTCCTCGCTGATGTTTTCCTAACTTGGCTCTGGCTGCTTATCAGTCCTCAGGCCAAGCTCTGCGGCCAGGGACCGCGTGTTCTCCAAAGCCTCGACAGCGTCTATCTCATCGTAGTTGCTAGCATAAACAAATAATACTGCAGTCACCAAGTAACTTCCTAACCACAGTCCTGCATGGAGCGAGCCCAGAGGAAGTCGCCAGTGAAGTACCTCCAGGTTTCCAGGGCTGAAACTGAGCCAGGTTTGGGTCTCCACCAGCAGCAGAGCAAGCACAGGTAGGTCCTGTGGAAAATCCTAACGCGGGATTGTGCAGCTGGAGGGCGGGACTGTAGCTCTGCATGAATTATATAAGGAGAGTGAGAAACAGCAAAGCTGACATCCATGCATGGGCCAGAGTTTTATTGCTTTTTCAGTTCAGTTATGGAAAGCAGCCCTGGCAGGCTTTGTGCTAACGTACAGGGTGTCTCTGTGGGAGGACTGGCACGGAGGATGGAGCAAGATTAGGCAAGTTATGGAGAGCATTCTTGCCTTTGGTGGAGTTATTTTCATGGGTGCAGGGCATTGAGATTCGGTAGGCGAGCAGAACAGAGCCCTCAAAAGTGAAGGAAACACAATAAAAATGAACTAACGCCTCTTGGACAGTAGGAGACAGTGGGTAAGTCTGCTGAAGAGAAGCCTGCAGATTTAGTTTTTCCCTTTGGCTGCTTTTAATGGCTCTCTAGGAATGAGACTGAAAATTTAGGTGGTTTCAGATGAAGGACTGAAATAACGGCAAGGTGTCTGTGCTATTGCATGTTTCCTCTCATCTAGCCTCTGGTTTAAATAAATGTATAAACGGCTTATATGGAATGATATTCATGATTCTTAGGAGAGAAAACTAAAAGAAGTTGGCTGAAAAATGAACAAAACGCTACCAGAGGTGCTCTAGTTGCAAGAAGAGGGCTGGCTGGTCGCAGGTAGGTCGGCTGCAGCACGTACACGCAAGCTTGCCGCTTAAAGCAAGGCAAAGAGATCCTCCACAGACCAGCCAAGCAGAGAAAAAAGCCCAAGCTGTCCGCCTTACAGACTTCTGCCCAGAGCTCTGAAATGATGCTAGTTACTGTGGCCTTGTTAATAAATAGCAACCATCTGTCCATTTTAATGTGGGGAGGCAAATAAGCACCAAAGCATTGTTGGTGGAAGTGGAATAACCTGAGAGCAGTTCTAGGAATCACATGGGTTTGCAGCCGTTTTTTCCCTGTAGAGGTTATGAAGAATGCAGAAGTTTAACAGGACGCTGCCAAGGCGTTTTTCAGCAGATCTCAAAGCATTCATTTTACAGATGGGAAGCTGAGGCATGGGTGAGCCATGAGCGTGCCAGTGTGGCCCAGGGAGCTAAGGGAAAAGCAGGGGACGGTGCCTGGGCTCCCGAGTGCTGGGGCTGTGTCCTGCTCCAGCAGCAGACCCACTCGCCTTGGGTGACGGCTTGTCCTTTCAGCCACATGCACTTATAGGCCGTAAACCCTGTACCGTAATCGAAATAAAAATAATTTGACATGAAAAGAATGGTTTCTTCACGCCATTAGGGGTATTTAGGGCAGGCAGGAGGTGTTCAGGCAGAAGGGGTGTGAGCTACTCCTGGAAGCAATTACACAGCCATGTAACTGGGCTAATTAAGAAAGGGACCTAAGTGTTGAAGCTCTTTTGGGAGGGAAGAGGAGCCAAAATACTTGGGAAAATATTTCTTTTTATTCATCAAAATAATAGTTGCATGTTTTTTGTCTCTTCTTTCTGCAGTTCTCTTAGCTTAGACAGGGATGGAGGGCCCTTATCACCCTCTGCTTCTCCTTTACTCGTGCAGCAGCAAATTAGCGAGGCTTCAACTTAGGGCAGAAATCAAGCTATGAAAACTATTCTCATTGAAATAATAATAATCTAACAAGCGACAACAATGCAAAAATCCTTCTATTCTTTTTAAATGCATGCATGCCAAAACTACCTTGTGTTCCTCTTAGTTTTAGAATTAGTTGTCAGTCTCTGGGGAGGCTGGGTAAAAACCCAACTGAAAATACTAAGATGAGTGGATGACAACACTGTGTCATTTAGGTATTGAAAGGCAACCTCAGTTTTTGGAGTCAGATGAAAAGTGAAAACGGCAGTTTCTATTCTTTGCCCCGTACCACAAAAAAGGGGAGTTTGGTTACGAGGAAGAATTTGCCTGGGATTTCTTGTCACACTTGTGGCGCTCCTAGCGAGCGGCGAGGCCGGTGGCCCGGCACGTGCGGGTCTCCCACGCCGGCACGCAGGCGCAGGTGCCGGAGAGCTGCTGCTTGAGAGTCGGCGAGCTGCCTGGGGACTTCGAGGTGATGGCTCATCACGGAAGCGTTAGAGGAGTGCGTGTGCTGCAGAGGGGTTATCATGGACGTGTGAGTTGAGTCCAGTGTGGTGGACCTCTACCAGACCTCCAAACGAGGATAGTTTGATGAAGTTGTAGTAAGCCAGGAATGCAGATTTCTCTGTCAAAGCACAAGCTTGCAGAGCTCAAAGGCTACAGTGACAGTGGTGGGGATCTTCCAGGAACTGTTACCTCCTCCGCACACAGCTTCAGAGAGATTTGGACCCACCTAAACTTCTGGACTCTGTTAGATCGTGATTATCAGCACTTAGTCTGGTTCTGATGACAAAATCAGGTCAATTGACAGTACCAAAGAAGGCAAAAGAGATCCCAAACTGTATCGTAGTTACTGTGTATAAGAGCACCTGAAGTGTATGGCGCTTAATTATTCACTCATGTCGTGGGTGGAAACTGCGATCTCCTAGAGAAGTCTCCATTATAATTAAAATGTCTTCTTTCTGGAGCACTGTGAGTTACTTTCACTGCATCCTTCAAAACGCACGCGCAGACTCTCTTCCTCCTCTTCCTCGTATTTCCGCGTGAGGTTGGACTTTGTTCTGATTTCAGCTTTTTTCCCCCCTTCCATGTGAAGCAGTGGCCCAGTGCGAGTAACGCCCAGGCTGCAGGAACCCAACAGTTATTTTTACAAGCTGTTAATTAACCTTGCAGCAGCTTGCTCCGCTCTCTAAGCGCAGCCCCTCGGGACGTGTCTCTGCAGCAGGCTGTGAGCACGGGTGGGCAGGACGGTGTTTCTCCAGGCACCGCGAGCTTGCTGCTCCAGGGACATGCCCCGATGGAGGCCGGCTCTGATACCCCGAACGTGTTCCTGCGGCGCGGGCATGTGCTCTGCCGAGCAGATTGCTTCCCTTGGCACGCTGTCTGGAGCTGAACGGGAGACGTAACGTGTCTGTCACGCCGGCTACTGCAGGCCCCGAACTAGAATTTGAAATTGTCCCTGGTAATGACAAAACGAGTCTTTGCTATCTCTTGCCCATTCTGTTTCCTGCCTTGAAAAATTTTGACATGGCTGTTACTGAGAGATTTTAATGTGTGTTAACACATTTTCAAATTCAGCTATGTTTTTTACAGGTTTTTTAAAAAGTGAAACATTTATGTATTTTTGTTTGAAGCATTTATATATATTTGTTCAACACCAGCCATGCTACCTGCAGCACACAACCTGCAGCAGAAGTAGCCCCTGCCTGAAAGGGAGTATGGTCTGGTAACACTTAGCAATACCGCTTGCCATGGAAAGTAGGACAGGGATGCATTTGTGTCACGTTTGCCATAAAATCTCAGTGGCAATAATTGTCGGAGGTGTTACGAGAGATTTTAAGTCATATTTTCCAGTTTTAACGCACCGTTAGAGTCTGTATATTGGTAATACATGAGACTTTGGCGTGGCCCCTGTGCAGCATTCCTGATGGCTCCACAAGGTCTTAGTTTCTGTAAGATCCTTTAAAGCCTTTGCAGTTTGAAGAGCTATATAGACCATGATGTATATTATACTCTTGATATGTTCTCTGCCGGACTTTTCTCTAACACCCATTTAGGTGCTTTGCTCGGAGAGTTGCTCTGTGGTGGACCCTGAACGCTGGGGAATCCCAAATAGTTAGTAAGCCAGTTCTCCTCCTAGGTGAAACGCCATATTATATGGTATGGCACATTGTATGTGGGACAGAGAGTAGCTGCCCTAAAGCAAGTAAGGTAATTAGAATTAAAAATGCAGTCACATCTCCACGTGGTTATGAAGAACTTCCCATGGTAGTGCATTCACCATAAACAGATATCTGTCCTGCAGATGGGATGCACAGGGTGGGAGGTGAGTGAACGCCAGCTTAGAAGGTGATGAGAATGAAACACTGGCTATGCTTTCTGAGAAAGAATTATAAAAAAGTTTTTTTGCCTGAAAGATGTCTTTTATGGGGAGGGTGTTGGTACGTATGTGCCATGTCCAATGAACCTATTCGTGTCTGCTTACCAGCTCCATCGGACAGACAGCGCCGTTCAGGAGATGACTTAACTGCTCCCTGAGGAACACACGACTTGGTAGCATGGAGTCATTTCTAACAACACTGAGTAAGAGAGTCCTACTGGAACGTGAACAGGTGGCTCTTGTGTTTTCTGGGGCTGGAGCAGTGGGTGAGACGATTTTGGCAGCTTTCAGGCTTGCGTTCAGCTTGTGACTCGGAAACAGCCGGGAGGGCTTGGGAGTTTTTGCACCTCTGCTCCACGCAGGTCGCTCCTGTGCTGCAGCTGTGATGGCAATGGCGTTGGGCAGGACCGACCCCCACCGATCCCGTTCAGCATTCGCACCCGCTGAAGTGAGCGGTACATGTTCTCGAAGGTACTTACAGGCGAAAAACTGGAGTTTTTAAATTCCAGTCGTATCCCAGGAAATAGTTTGATATTGATGTAACTTCTAAGAGAGATTCCAGCTTCTCAGCTCCAGTGTTTTTTAAATAAACATGAATGAGCGACTGCAAAGGTCAATTTGTGGCTTGGTGGGAAAATGCGTACTTCAGTTCAGGATCAAATAAAAAGACATGGTTTAGAGGGTGCAGAGGACCTTGGAGGCTGCCTGGTTTTGCCTTTGGTCACACTATTACATATGCTGCCATCATTAGTCATTGCCCCTTTATTTATTTATTTTTTAATTTAAAAACACAAGTAGTTGAAATAAAATTAAGTCAATATTGGAGATTAAGTTTATAATGATGTTTGCTCCTGGCATGAAATGCCAGCAGGCTTTCCCCCTCCGTGTTCCTTTGACAAACAATTCTCCAGATTCATCTGTGTATGAGAAAACCTCACGTTACTGCTCGCGTTCAGCAAGGCGGAGGGTAGCGCAGGCAGCACTGATGTGAGGTTACCCCTTGGCATAAGCCCACAGTACTCGCTTAATACTTCTTGGGACTCTAGGAAGGAAGCTAATTCACTGCCAAGAACTTCACCCCCGAAATATTTCTGCTGCTTATATAGATGTTTTGCATCAATTTTTTTACCATACTGTGCTAAAAATAAAAGCTTTGGTTAGGCATCGTAGATGGGCCTAGTTTCAGACTAGAACTTTTCTCCTGAAGGTCAAACTGCGTACGCTTTTACTGTACAGAAGGCAGCATGTGCGGAGCACTGGCTGGTTTTGAAGTTATGGCGCGAAGAAAAAACTTCTTGACTGTGAGGGTGACAGAGCATTGGAACAGGTTGCCCAGAGAGGTGGTGGAGTCTCCTTCCCTGGAGATATTCAAAACCCGTCTGGATGTGATCCTGGGCAATATGCTCTAGGTGACCCTGCTTGAGCAGGGAGGTTGGACTAGATGATCTCCAGAGGTCCCTTCCAACCTAAACGATTCTGTGAAGCTGCAGCTCATAGGCGTCAGGTCCCGTCCTACGAATATCCCGTTGGCTGAGTTTCCCTGCCTCAGCTTCCCCAGTGGGAAAATGGAGATAACACATCATTATTTTCTCCTCGCCTTGTCTGTTGAGGCGGTGAGCGCCTTCGGAGGGCTGGGTCGTTGGTGCGGTTTGGTGGCCACCATTCAAGGCGAATGGTGGTCCTTCGATACGGTCAGAAGGTGCTGGTAGGAGCTGATTTATTGCAGCGGGCTGTCTTAGTTGCCTGTCAGACGTTTGAACAGTGATAAGATGTGAGGCAATGACATAGATTGCTTTGATTTTACAGTAGAAATAAGTCCCATCTGCTTCAATTATAAATCTGTGTTTTCAGCAGGCCGCGGGCACCCGCTCAGCGCCGTCCTGGGAACTCGGACTTGCGAGGCTGGGCTGGGGGTGTAAAGGGTGTTTTGGGGCTGTGCAAGGGAATGTGCTTCGCATAGTATTTTAAGCCGTTTCTTCTCATGTGAGCGGAGACTTGGGCATAAACACTCGAGTCTCTGTTACTCGCTAAACAGCACGTGGGGCGCAGTGCTGCGCTGGTCTCGCGGCGCGAAGGCAGAGTGTTTCTGGACCACAACAGTGCTCAAGTGTTATGCCCTTGTTTGCACTCGCATGAGAGGACAGGGCTTGAGATGCAAACAAAGATTTGCAGTGTCTCTGTCCAAAAGGCATACAAAACCCGACTGTATCCCCGAGAAACGCATCTGGTCTATCACATGTCGTGTTTAACCCGCCGGTGTCCGGGCTTGTATTGTACGCAAGCCCTAGAGAGTAGCTTTTCTGGAGACCCAGAGATTCATCCTCAGCCTGAGAGCACCATTCCCCCTTTAAGATTTATGAGTCTTTATAACCTCCGGTAAGGTCAGCTGC